CCCCCCCCCCCCCCCCCTCCCCTACCCACAAAAACAAAAATCAATGCCTCAAAATTCTTTGAAAGCACGATGCAATTTCTTACTAAAAATGTAAAAGCTGGGCAATATGTGAGATTTTGCATTTTAAATTTTATAGATTGTAACAAATTTTGCTCATCAGCAGTAAGAGAAAACAATTAAAACATTACCATAAGCACTGTCTTCACTATCCAAGTAACTTTCACTGACAAAAGGAGTTTCATAACCTGCAACAGCAGTGGAATCCCAACAAACTAGATCATTTCCACTTTCACTGTTGCTGCTACAGCTATGATCTTCCCTTGCTTCTGATGTCTGCACAAGTAATTGAATACTAAGATGAGCAGATGGATTCTTCTCATTTCAAATATTATTGAAATTGCAAATAATCTAATTTGTAAAATCAGATTCTATATATTATGTGATGACTGTTAAAAAAATCACCAGATATTTGCAATATGCACCCCCAACATTCATTTTCCCAAACACAACATCAACATATACTCTTGACTGAGTGATGGCAGGAAGTAACCAGATGCTATATCAATAATCAATACTTGAAATGAAAACCACAATTAATGAAGCTGAAAACATATCGAAATGATATACCTGCAGTTGCATGCTATCCAGTTTATCACTAAACAGGTCAGGGCAAAAGCTTTTCTCTTGTTCCTTAGGCATGGTGCTTGCCATACTGGGAACTTTGTCTTGCACTCTAGATCCCAAACCAGAAGAAGACCCCTCTGTGGCCAGGGTACATTGAGGTAAGTTAATTCTAGATGTCAATTCTTGCAGCTTTTTGTCCAACAGGACACTTAAAGCATCACTATCTATCATATGTGGCCCTGGCAGAGATAGTGATAATTTTTTGGGATTAAGATTATCATTATGCCCAAGAGAGTTGACATCCATCCTATTTCTGGTTCCCATCACTTGCTCAGTAGAGGATGGTGAATCAGCCATGCTTCTCCTCAAGGGAGATGTAAATGTAAATGATATAACATCCTTGCTTTCTTTCATGTTAAATGCATCTTGATCAAGACTTCCATCAGTAGTAAAATTGCATTTAATGGACTTATTTCCAAAATTATTTACTGCATTATCAGGACCTCTTGCCTCTTGAACATCTCTGCTGATATACTTTTTCTTCTGGGAAATATTCTGTGTTTTGGATCGTGGAAACTCCTTTTGGTTATCAGTTGCCCTAGTGCTTGACCTTTTAGGCTGAATATTGGCAATTATAGCACTCTTGTTTTTTGTCTTCCTTATTCCAGTGGAAGTTTCTGGAGGTGAAGCTCGTGTTGTTGGCTTATTGGAATCTATTTTTGAAGTTGATTTACCTTTGAGGGTCATGCTGTTTTGCTTTTGGTTATTCTGCCCAAGAACAATGTTATTCCGGCTTGAACAAGGTCTCTGCTGCATGGCTTGTTGTGAACTTGATTTCTGGCTCCTTGAGAGCTGATTTGACTTTTTCTCATTCTTCTCTATCTGTTTCATGCATTTCCTATTACCATTTGAAATCAATGTATCTCTACTTTGAGTATTGTTTTTGGCTAGTGATGCAAGTGAAACTGATTTTCCTTTACCTGCTAAATGGCAAGTACTATTTTTTTCTGAACCTCTTGAAACCTTGAATTCTGAAGTGCATTTATACAAATTACTGCTCCTCTCACTAAGCTTGCCATTTGCAGAATAGGTATTGCTCATATCCACAGGCCTTCCAGGCACGGATGCATATTGTGCAGCTTCCAATCTCTCTTTCAAATTGAGAATTCTCAAGGGAACAGATGAGGGCCCTGTTGATGCCATTCTATTCTTCAAATATGGCCGAGGGCTTGCCTCAATTATCTTAGCAGCTGCCTCCATTACATGAGCTGCATTTTTTGGTGGCAGAAAACCAGGACTCTTGATAGGAGACAACAGTTTATTGTGAGTAACTGGAATTGGTTTAGCCGATTTTGGAGGCAACATTTCACTTTGGAATCTCTTCATTGGATGGTTTTCCACTTTTCGTGCCCTTGACTCCATGGCATCCAAAGAAGACTTATCCAGCTTGAGTGGTGTGTTTATGTAGTCTGCAGGGTGAAAGTCATCCACTGAGTGAAGAGCACCTTCATTACAATTAGAAGCTCCGTGAGATTTAGAGCCATACAATGAAGTGCAGGAGAACTCAGTGACTGCTGCTGCTGGCAACGAGTCCAAACCCATGAGTCTCGCTACTAACCCAGGGGCTTTACTCCCACATCCTTCATCGCTACAAGTTGAGAGGGTGCTGTCAAAATCACAACTTTGATTGTTACTTGGACTTGCTCCAACTTCATCCACCTTTATCTGAAACAATTACAATTAAAAATAATAATATAACATAATCAAATACATAAAGGATCTGATTGGATAAATTTCTCCATTAGTATATATAGGAGAAAAAAATAAGAAGGTGAAATGAATTGAGCCTCTCTCATAAGTTAAAATTAACTTAACTTCTATAGAAGCTCTCACACCTAACTTCTCCATAAGTTGAGATGCATAAGCTAAATTCAACTTATGACAGAAACCCAATTCATTTTTTCTTCTTATTTTCTTCTCCGTACTTGTAAAGAAATTTATCCAAGTGTAAAAATTAAAACAAATAACAAGCAGAGTTCAAAAAGTGGAACAGATTCACACCCTAGTGAGACGAGACTTTGGTAAGTTGTCCACATTTTCCTTCCCTTGCTTTGAAACCTCTACGTTATTGTAGCAGAAACATTTAGAACAGGCACATGAGAGAGCAACAAAAGCATCGAAGAAGAACATTCACTATTCATTCAATATGAGGACATGGTAAGCAAACAATGACAACAGAAATGAACATTAGTATTACCAGGATCGTTCCAAGTCAGCTTCTTCCGAGATTTGGAGTTCCAATCAAACAAGCTGAGGAAGCTTCCCTTGGACTTGGAACGTCTTTTCTCCATCTCCATTTCTCGTTTTCCTACCGCAGGAAAAACACAACAACATAAACCCACACCGTGTTTCCGGTGAAAGTTAACATTTTTTTCACAATTGGGTTCACTCAACCCCAGAACCCAAATCTCTCACCCCCAAAATCAATCAACATTTTGAATGAACTGACTATAGAGAACAGTTAATCAAAATCTTACCTTTCTTCAGAAGCCCATTTTCAAAATTGAAGAACTCCTTGTTGCACGAGAATCAGCAACCACAATTGCGATGAAAATAACAACTTTTTGAGTTATTATCATAGACCCATTATCCAATGCATATATACCTTTTGTTAAAAATACAATAATTTCAGAAAAAAAGGGGAACGCAAGAACACAACACAACCCTTAGTTGCTCTGCTTCTCTATTCCTGCACAAAACTAATTGAAGCGTGGAAATGAAAAGAAGATCTGAGAGTTGAGTGTGAGAGTGAGAGTGGGAAATAAGAAAAGTGCGAGAAAAAATAAAAATCTGCGATTTCTACGAGAGCGGAAGAATAGGGGTGTGTCTGTGCGTTACTTGGGTCTTCGTGGAGGGATCAAATTAAAAAGAACACAAATAATGGAGGGATTAAAAGGTTTTGCATCCATTTTTTATACAAGGTAATACTCATTAAATATTTGTCTTTTTTTAAAAAATAAATTAAACCAAATCCTCTCAGAGTGTTTTTCATTATAGTCACCCACTAACTTTGTTAAAGTTTTATTTAATCAAAATAAAGTATTTAGTGAATGAGTGTATTTCATTAATTTGTAGGAGTATTTTTTTAATAAATATTACTTCATATTGTTATAAATAAGATATTACTTCATATAACGTTCGTGCTTATAATATCGAGTTCTTATTTTTTTCTCACTTTTATCCTCACAATTCTCTAACACTCTTACAACCTTATTCATTAAGTTTTGTTTTATAATATAAATATCTATTATAATATAAATATCATGCAGATATATTTTAAATCTCTTAAATTTAAAATAAATTTATTTTTTATTATTTTTATTTTAAAAAAATATTTTAATTCATAATTATTTGTAGTATGACAGTGATAAATTGAGTTAATTGTTTAATATTAGTTGGATTTAATATAATATTTTTATTAATTATGAAATTAGTTGTTGGATTTTGTATAATAGATTTAATCACAAGGATATCTTTGAATAAATAACTTATTTTAGATTTTATATAATAAATTCTTATGTAATAAGAATTTATGTTATAAATATTTAAAAATTAACAAGTTATATTTAGATATACATGTTAATCAATATTTATATAATTTTAAAGTATTTGGATGTATAATTGTTTATATACTTATAAGATATTATTTATTTAAAAACAAATAAATAAATAGGTTTTAACTAAAAGTAAAATAAAAAATAAAAAATAACTATATATTTTTTAAAAATGACATTATGCATCACAATAATATTAAAATAAAATAAAAATTACTAATCACCATTCACCTAATTTTAGCTTATAAAAAAATAGATATGAGAAATTAATTATATGTATAACAATGATTAAAAATTAAGAGTCATAAATTTTAAAATTAAAATTTAATTCTATATATTTTATAAAATGATGAATAAAAAATATTGTATAAATATCAACAACAAAAAATTTATTCCAAATGAACTATATTAAAAGAAAAAAATTTACAAAATTTTTTTATAATGGGAGAATGTGGATTTCAAGGAAAAGATAGAAAAAAAATAGAGAAAAAAAATTGGAGAGAGAAATAAAACTTTTTAAAATGTGTAATGAAAAAATATATAATTGAATTTTAGTGAAAGAATGAAAAAATAAAAATAAAAATTATTTACATGACACATTTGAATTTAGATATTTTTCAATAAATTTCTGCGTGAGTTAAATAATAAGCTGTACTGAATAATTTATTAAAATAAGTTCTAAACATCTTATAAATTTCTCATAAGATATTTTATAATTTTATCTAAATACTTTCACAAAAACTTATAAAATAAAATAAGTATAAATAAATTATTCATAATTCTTTTAAACAAGGTATAAGCAAGTTTTATTTAACAATTTTACCAAAGACATTTTAATAAAAGGATAAAATACATTTTTTTTTAAATTACATGACTAAAAATTTAATTTTAAATTTGAAATATCAAAAATACATTTACCTCATATTTAAGAGATAAAAAAAATATTTAACTTTATAAATATATTTGTAATATCTCATTTCATTTAATAAAAATATTTAAAATAGATAATAAAATGAAGAAAAAATTATCCTAATGGTAATTCCATTTTTTTTTCTCTTCAATTTGTATCATATAAATGTTGTTAAATTTAAAAAAAAAAAAAGTAATTTTCTACTATTGTGTACATTTTCTCTAAACATAATTAAAATATGTTTTAATTGGTCATTTTAGTTGTATGTAACTCATTTAGTCAATCCATAAATTTGTTGGATTAAAATTAAGATATTTGATAAAAATTTATTTTTTAACTTTTAATTAAAGTTGATCGTACAGATATTGATCTACAAATTTAAAGTATGTTATTTTTAATATCATGATCGGTCTAATGTCAAGAAATTGAAATAATGTTCAAATGATCTAAGATTCAAATTTTCAATATTATCTTTATAATTCTTTCTAGCTCAATTTATGTAACTCGGGTTTAACAAACTTGGTTTGAGAGTTACGTAAATTACTATATTAAAATATATAAATTAATTTTAATATTTAGTTAAATATTTGATGATATTAATTATTGATGAATGACAAAGTTATCCTTTTCCTTATTTTTAGTATTTTACTCACTCATTGTAGTTAATGAGATTTTTTTATTATTAATTTAGTTGGTTTATACTTTATTAGTTCACTTTTCATGTCTAAGTTTAATCAATTACCGATAAGTAATAAGTTATAAAATTATTTTAAAATTCTTAAATATTCAATTTGTAATTTTGATCAAATTATTAAATATTTATTTTTAATCATTAATATTTTTATGCCATTAATTTTTAATTTTGTAATTTTAGTTCATTAATTTTATAAAATTTGTAATTTTGATCTAATTATTAAATATACATTTGTTGATCATTAAAATCATAATAATAATCATAACTTAACATTAAATAAATAATGTGATAATAAATACTTATGTTAAATTATATTTTTAATTCTTATTTTTATCTCATAAAAATGATAAAAAAATGAAAATAAAGTAAACACGAGAATAAAAATACAATTTACGAAGATTTATAATTATAGCGTTCTTCCAAACGTTAGTTAAAGTATAATTTAAGTTTATTACTAATAAATTATTATTACTATTACTTTAATAAATTCCTTATTTGCTATTCTTTAATATTACACAATTTGTTTTAATTTTTAATTAATATTTTATGTTAAATCTTGAAAGAATATAAGATTTCAAAAGTTAACTAATAATCTTTAAATTATATTCTCTATCTACAATATATATATATAT